CTAAAATATATATACTTACATTAACAGTGAACAAAATTAATTCAAATTAGGGTGTTTTTTTTTTTTCCTATACTTACTTTTTTATTTAAAACAACTCTTAAAGCAAATGTGTTTGATTGCTGCAGTATTAAAGATATAAACTTAAGAGGAAATCATCACCACAAACAATTTGATACGGAAAAAAAAAAAATTTGCAATTTTAAAACCCATTTAAAATAATTAACATTCTTTTTTTTTTTATCCAGTTCAGATGGAAAGGCAGGTATTAAGTGTAGGCAGTCCTAAATTTAGCTTTTAGGAATCCTTTAATTTAGCCAATGGCAAACAAAACTCTAAACTAGTAACCCAAAGTGACATATAAACTACATATGAAACAAAAATGCTATTACTTTTTATGACTACTCAAATGAGCATAGAGCCACTCCACACATTTTTGTTCAACGAAGAAGCTTCGTAATGTCAGAATTCATACTTGTATCTTTACATTCACAGGTATGTACAGAGGCAGTCCTTGACGATCCTATGTTAAACGGATAGTAACAAATGAAGCAAACAAACAAAATGTAAGAAACTATGAAGTTCCAGGGGCTGAAACCAAAGCTATGCCAAAATGCCAAAAATCAAAGCAAATTCTACAAATCTTCTACAGCTGCCAATATAGCAGAATGAGGCAGGAAGATCTGACAACCTTGTCACAAATGAAAAGAGAAGGATAGGGAAAAGGAACATTATAGTTGAGAAGTGCATTTCAATATTAGACTATCTTTTAAAAATATTCAGCAAAATTGAAAGATTTACCATTACAAGAACTGGGAGCAGAAGGAAGAATGAAAGACAAGAAGTGTCTCTCTACCTGTACGGAATAACAGCTACTGTCTGACAACATCATGTTCATTCGTAAGTCCAGGTGTAGGCATCACAGTGATGTGGCAATACTGCTTCTGGAAGTACCTGCTTCCTCCTGTATTCCCCACTGAAAATAATGTTGTCACATATATTTGAATTTATTAAGACTTCAGTGCACAGTTGAAGTTAAGCATCCACTGAGTAAAGATGCACAATTTGGTACAGCAGGTCAACTCACTTCAGGAAGGATCTTCAAAGTTCACTTATAAATCTCACAGTAGGAACCAGGAACTAAAATTTCACCTGTAAATATGATCCAGAAACTAATACCTCTGCAGCAGTCTAACAGCCTAAGTTTCTTTCTGCTATTTTCTACTTCCTTATTCAGAGCCTTTAACAGTACAGCAAACATATCTGAACATGAAAAATCGTTATGGTGCGGACTACAGGCACAAATTGGACTGGAAGTACAAGATGATGCTTTGTGAAGCTACTTCTGGTACTACAGAGAAAACCTGAGATAACAAGATGCAGTGTCATTATAATTTCACATTATACACCAAGTATATGAGCAATGAATGACTCAGTCTAATTGTGACAGAAAAGATGTGACAGTTACCACCCATTTTTAACTTTTTTGTTTGTTTTTACATGTTAGAAGGCTTCCTTCACTTTAAAAAAACTCTTAAATAACGTGAACTGTTTTATATCCATTCAGCTGCTCATTAAGTTGAAGGCAGCAGAAAGAAACACTTGTGCCTTTCCCTCCCTGGTGACAAAACACACACACAGCCACTTCAGAACCCATAAACTACCTTCATCAGCCTTGCCTGTTTTTCCCCCAAGTGCTAACAAACCATAACGAGGCAAGGCTCAGATTACTATAAAGATATCTACAATACTAGTAATAACCAAAACAGCAAGGGAGCAAGCCAAACAACAGACAGGGCCATGGAATCTCAAATCCTGCTCTCACTCCATCAGCTAATGCCAGCAGCCACTGTGGCACACCCTCAGAGAGGCCTGGGCCTGCACAGCACCATGCGCAGCCTCGGCAGGGTTGGTGCGCTTGACTCTCATGTGGTGTGACTTTGTTGTAGTTTTGGAGTTGCTGTGCTTTTTTTTTTGACAGACAAGGTGATCAAAACACCATGCGCTTTGGAGTATTTTTTTCCACACTCAGTGATTGGCACAAACAAGCTGGAAAAATGTAACTGCACGAAGGCGACAGCTGCTTGCAGGGCAGCAGTTCCCTCACCTAAGGCAGAACACTGCTTCTCTGCCTGGGCTTCTGCAGGGCCCCAGTGTGGGTCCTGACAAAGAGCTTTGGAAAGCAGTCAACACCCATTTCTTCACTGAGGACTGAGAAGCCACTGAACAACTTCATCCAACAGCCTCTCAGCAGCAGAGAGGTTACATTCTTGGACATACTGCAACACAGAGGACTTGATTATAAACCAACACCATATGAGATAACACCTTTCCAAGCCAGTTCAGTCACACTAGCACATGGATGCACCCATGCTAATAACTCACCTCTCCATTGACCTTGTAAGCCAAGCACATCAGGTCAAGGCTGTCACATATCCAGCTGCAGAATGGTTTCCATCCACTAGGCCAGAATACAGATGAAACTACAAAAACAACTCCACTCCCAGCTCTAACAAAACTGCTCTTGCAGATTTCTACTTTGTATTGCTCCCAGCAGGGAGCTTTTGAAGGGATCCCTCTTTTCTCTTTAGCCTACAATAGAAGATGCTATTGTTCAGAAGCTCCTTACAGGAGGAGGGAGGATTAATGGAGCCTTCAGGGAAAACAACTCTGCAGATCAAAATGATCAGAAATAAGAAAACACTCATAAGGAGAAACGAATGAGTGGCAGCTTCGTCTTAGCAGTCCAGAAGGAAGGAAAACCCATCTCCACTATAACATTTGACTGAACAGTCCATTGTATTTCTGTTTGAATAGCCTATTTATCACTGGCATTCAATTATTTTTTTTTTTTAAGGAGGCAAACAAAAATAAATTGTTTTTTCTACGTCAACTTCTTTTAGTTACTGAAGAGTACTGTGAATTGCTGATCTCCTAATGCTTTGGCTGGATTGGCAGCCAGTCTAGTCCAGTCGGGCTTGCCTAACGGTATGAGAAATAGAAAATACAATTAGCATAGTCAAAGCCAGGGATAATCTAGGAGGTATTCACAATAATGAATAGAGTTGGGTGACAGGTTGCTTTAGCTGGGAGTTTCTGATACCCAGCCTTGTAACAATGTGTGTGGGCTAGTAAATATTCAGCAGAAGTTTAACAGGGTATTTTAAGGAGATTTACAGTCAGCTCAGTCATGTATCACCACACTGACATGTAGTCTTTGCCTTTGCATATCATACAAGAAACTTAATGTCAGTTTATATGGCAATCATATATATATATAAGTCTGTGCATACTGAGATGTCTATGATGAAAATAGCTTGCCTAGTCTCCTGGGAGCATAATACACAGCAGTCTACTTTCCAAACAACACTATACTGAATTCTAATACTGAAAAAAAAAAAAACAGAAAGTAGATTTTTTTCTTTTTAATCATTAAAACTGGCTCAAAGCAAGTAGATGACTGCTTATACAGTCTGATATCTGGGGATCTCTACCAAGAGTGAAGGCAACATACTTTAATCTTTTAATACACATTTTGTCTTTTCAAGGAGATCCAACATTTTAGTGCAAGCTTTACACTGTCACTAAATTGATCTCACTGTATCTTACAATCACTGTGGTATTTCAGCATTTTTGTTCAGTTACTTCTCTTTTTTTTGCCCTCATAAGATAAAAAAAAAAAGTAGAAATCGGATGTGCTTGTTCAGACTTAATAAAAAATAAAAAGTCACTTACTGCAGCAACAAGATTCAGTTTTACATTCATTTTCATCTAGGGCAACAAAGCATACAATGAAGAGTTACAAAGTCAGACTGATGATTGACAAGCTACTCTAACACTGCTTTGGAAGGCACCTTATCTGCCAAATCCACTTTTACACTCTCTATCAGCTCACACTAACATCTGCATTTGCTTCTCATCATCACAGCTTTTAGACTATGGCTTAACTGCATAACCAAAATGCACAGTCCTGTCAGCAGATGACTTCACATTATATAACGTGCTTTGGAGCAGCAAACTGGAAAAACTCAAGTGTGATATGTTCAAGAGCTGTCAAATTTTTCTTTCATACACAGGCAAAGCAATCAGTGATCCCTTCTCGCTCCTGATGAATTGTGGATAATGATGGCTTAGTCAGTGCCTACACTGCACTCACAGGTGGTATTTTGACTGCTTTCACGTAAACTTACTTGTGTGCCAAGAGCAGAACAGCCAGGGCATCAAGGATTCCCAGCTGGATCTGCTGTATATGCTGAAACCACAGAACTACAGCTAAACACTGCTACCGATCCCTAAACGAACCAGTTTACTGCCAGTTTGGATGTGTTTACACTAGCTGCAGTCACATTTCATTACAGCACAGATACAATCTTTGGGTGAAATAGCTGGGCAATGTTACCAATGACATTTAAACATTAACATGAAGGTGTTAGTATTTGACAGTAACTCTTTACAGTACTTGCATACAGGAGGAACCACAGTAATTTCCTAGGCTGAATAGTATGACCTAATTTCCTCATTTTTATTATGTAGCACTGACATTATTTGCGTCACATGAAATAAAAAAATAAAATTAAAAAAAAAAAACACCACTTTGCTAATGCTGTCCTTTAGTATTTCTTATATTTTCTGTTCACAGCAAATAGAACATCCAGTGAACATTAGAAAAAGCTCCATTAGGTTGACTGAAACCAGACTCCAAATGGAAAACTATCTCGGTGGAGACTGTAATACTCATACTCATTAAATTTCAAAACGTAGCACTAAGATCAATGAAAAATAAAGTGTCTTCTTACCTTAGGATCTCGTTTTCTGCACGCTGATGTGAAACCTGTGACACATAATCAGAACACTTTCCTGTTTTTCCTCATTTCTGCTCAAGTATACACTGTTTTAAATGGACACTTTCTGAGCATCTTCTTAGAAACAGTTAATAAAATCAGACAATTCAAAGGCTAAGACAGATAAGAAGTGGAACATTTATCATAAAGAGTAAAAATTACCTTTAGCAGGGTTCACTTTTATTCCTGACCTATACAGCATCTCCTCATTCTGCCAGTCCCCATTTCTGACAACAGTCTTGAGTCCATAGAAAACAATCAATGCAGCAGTGGAACAAAAAACCAAGTTCTTCAGAAAGCGTTTTTGGGTTTTGACATAAAGGGCTCTGACACCTACTGTAACCAGCAGGCAGAAGCCCATACTAGGAACATACAGCACACGCTCTGCTATTACAAAGCCAACATAGAAAAATAGGTTTGTGGCAGGAATAAAGGGCACTATTAACAAAGACAGAGACAGAATGACAATGTTCTCAGTTGAAGGAAGCTGTAGTTTTAAGATTTCATGCTTTTTTATGCCATTCTCTTCCTTCGATGCAAAACTTGACTTCCCCTCCAGTGTCTTATATTCCATTTCAGAGTGACAGCTATGCCCATTAGCATTCTGCTTGCCATTCATTACACTTTTCCCATTGCATTCTCTTTCATTGCTGGAGCCCTTCAAGCTGAAGTAGGCGAGGAGGAAAAGTCCAGCATAGAAGGCCACAGTGTGTAGATTTCTCCAGTCGCTGACTGCCTTCAGAAGAGGCACAGCATCCATTGACCAGTCAAAGCTGAGGGTGTCTGGGCAGAACAACAGCCAGAGGTTCTTTGTTGGCAAGTAAAGGAAGGTCAGCATTCGTGTGAGAAAACTGTCTGAATCAGCTGCTGGATTGTCAGAGTTGGAAAAACTTGGGGGCTTGTTGCCCATCCAGTATAAGCGGATACCCAGCAGTGCAGTCCCCCAGGAGGTCAATAAACCAATGCTGAAGAAAAGGTTCAAATTCTTCCTCTGAAAGGAAAAAAATAAGCAATCATAAGTCTAAATTAGCACGAGGTATTTAATTCACAAACAAAAGGAATCCAGAAATATCTCATACAACTATTTTTGGTAATGAAAACCAAGCACTGCAGGTCTGTCTCAGGCGTTTGGTTCACAGAACGCTGGAGTGAACCGTACACTGCTGACCATAAACTAAAAGAACAGGTTTGTTCCTGTAAGCCCCCTGAAGCTTGTAAGAGAATCAAGTCTTGAGATCTTAGAGCTGTCAGTCCATGCTTATCACTTATCCCAAGTAGCCGTATAACGATTTGAAGAATATGTAAGTTAGAGGAATTTATGGAACATTACATTGGTCTTCATATAACCTCCCAAATCCCTTATTCGATTCTGGCAGTGGCTGAACCAACAGTTTACCTCAACAAAATTTAAAGTTACAGGATTGCTCCATTTTTCCTAACAGACACATTTCCTAAAGTATTACTTACGGAATTTCACCTAACAACCAAATAAACATTCCAATCAGCCAAGAAAAGAAAACAGACAGTTTCCATGTTTAGGTCTTCCAGTTCCAGTTAATTACAATGTTCATTTGGAGCCGTCAGATGTGCCTATTACTGAAAGCTCCATTTCATTCTGCATCTCGCAGCCAAACGTTGTCTTTTTCCTTCAAGAGCACCATATTAAATCACAGCTTTAAAAATCTTTCACATCTTTATACTCATCTAAATAAAAATTTGTGAAGCATTCAGATGCCTCCACCTACTCATGTCATCATACTAGCAACCACAAGCTGCCACTTATTTATGGAACAACTGAACATTTGCCAGCTGAAGCTGCTTGTTGGGTTCTCCCCCTCCCCATTAGAAAGTACTTACTTATTCATACACTTGCAGAAACATACCACTTCTGCCTGAATGAAAATCAGAAGAAGCGAGACTTTCTCACCTATTTCTAGGATTGATGAGCTTAAATTCTGCTTTCAACTACATGGGCACCCTAAACAAAAGCTGTTTTGGATTACTCTCTTTTTGGCAGAAATATCTGTATATGAGTAATTTTTATATTTCATTTTCTTAGATGCTCTCTGTAAGAACAGAAAAATTATTTGCCAAGTAGCTCCAGACACAGTGTGAGCACTTTGTTATTATTTCCCCACATTATTACAAAAAATTAGTTGTCAATCATCTTCCTTTTTATCAGGTCTGGTTTTTTATCCATCTCAAACTACACATTCCTGGTACGGTTATTCACTGAACGTTTCTTATGTTTGTTACTGATAAACAAGATCTCACAGTGGAACTTTTTATCTTATTTCTTTCAAACACCGTTTTTCTTCTTCATGGGGTTACTCTCTCCTTGATATCTTGACATACAGGTGACTGTGCTACTCCATTTTAGGTTTGCTTTTAATAGTTGTCTATCAACAGGTCACCCAAAATGTAGTCATCATAATTTACTTGCTTATTTCACGAAGAAATTTACTCCCATTCACATTTCTGAGAGCTTTTCCTTGTGAATTTAAACTATTTAATGACAGTTAGATTAATTCATTCAGTTTTGAGGAGATATGGAAGAATGCAAAGGAGGCATTAGCAGGGAACAAACAAATTCATAATGAGAATGATTTACATATCTATATCAGATCCACTTGAAAAATGTTGCACCTTTTTATACATGAAGCAAAGTCTGAGTCCACATATTTACTATATTGATTACATTTTTTTATTAGTTTCTGCATACTTTTATATTTTGGAAATTCAACACCTTTTTAGTAGTAAATCAATCAAAATCCGTATCTACTCTTCATGATTAATATATTACTTGGAAAGCCTACTGAAACAGACTACTTTGACTTGTAAGCTACTTAATTCTTTACAACCCACCTGAGGTACTGTTTTACCCCCACCTGATAGAATTGTCTAAATGACTTAATGTTATAAAGCCATGTAAACTAGTTACCACAAAAAATTCCAGCTAACTTTGTTTTTGGAATAAAAATACAACCCATATTTCATCATTTGCATGTATTCCCTCATAGTAAAAATTTATTTTCCTGATTCAACCTGCTCCTCCATTCCCAGTATATTTTGGTACACTAAAATCTTTGCCTTCTCTTCTCTGGCTTCATTATTTTCAAACTTGTTTCCTTCAAACATGCAGATGACAAATTCTCATATGCCAAATGTAACTCTTTTTTGCTCTTTTTATATATCCTTCTGTAGTCTCTACAGAGGAGTACAGGAGACTGCTTAGAAAAAGAAAAAATAATAAGCTGGAAAGTGGAAGATGGGGAGTTTTGTTCATTTGTTTGCTTGTTTAATTAGTAATTCAGAGCAGGTCTTTGCTGGAAGACCATAGCACAAAAAGATTAAGACATCCTGAGTACTTAGCAAGTGAAACTTGATTAATAGACAAGAAGTGAGCTTTCATGGATTGCTTAGACTGCTTTGTTATTTTGCTAATACTTACTTAACAACCAGAGGGAAATCTCCCTTTCCTAAAGTTCTAACAATTGCACTTTTCAACTAAATGCAATGAGAGTTCACATTACAAAGTTCTTCAACAATGCTCACACTGCAGCAGATACACCATGCCTCGTGGTTAACAGAAAAACCTGCTAAAAACTTTCAGATCTTCTTCATACATCATAAACCAGTAACAATGAAAAGTTTGCCTCTTACTCCTAGCCTTAGAATGCAAACAATCTGGACCTCAAAGCTAATCCATCCTCACTGCTACAGTAATTATTTACAGCCTTCCTTTTGAGCTTAAATTTAAGAACTGTAAGGTCTGGATCCTCAGACATTTTGGATCTATAAAGAGCACCACATTTCTATACGCAGTATTGTGTTTCATGCTCTAAGAATACTTTTCTTTAAGACTTTACACCAGTGTCAAATGAAATATCTCAGCATACGAACAGTGGATTCAGAGTTATTCAAGTAGGTGATTTTCCACTCCAGCATATCTATCTATCATGCCGCAGAATACTACTTAAACCAGAAGAGGACCTCTGGCAAATTCCAGAGCTTAATTATTGGGCTACAGGAGTGGAGTGCAGGCTCCTTAGAGACAAGTGGTCTGCATCCTTCCACAGCAGCTTTTTGACACGTGACTCTTCTCAAAAGCCAGCAGTTGTACATCTTTTTAAAACTAACTACACGTTCACTGCAGCTACCAATAACCTGTGTAACATTGAGCTACCAGTGCAAATTTTTCATGGCTCAGATGACATCTTCTGGATTTAGTTAAAGGAAAAAATAAATACTAAAATACTTCCCAACACTTAAAAAAAAAAAAAAAGAAAAAAGTTTATCACAGATAGAGTTGGCTCCAAAGAGGAATGACAGACTCATTTTTTTCCTCTCTCATCACTTAACCTCATGACTTTTGCACAAATATAGTCAAAGATAATTAGGCTTAGCTCATCTTCTGGTTTTACTTTCTTCCAGGCTTTGTACAGAGAACCAATGAGAGGAGGAAAAACCAATCAAAATATGATGTAATATCATCAGCTCACCAGTACACTTCCATCTGCAAAGAAAGTGCTTTCAAAATGAACTCTGCTTTGATAAGCACTTTCACCAGCAACTCTTCCCCTGCATGCACTTAGTGCAGCCCAGCAGCAGGAAGAGATCCTCGGTAATGCTTGGCAGCAAGGATTTGGATTACTGTACTCATGAGCCCTAATCCAGCCCATCTGCCATATGTTTTGACACCCCCATAAATCCTCTAACCTTTCATAAGTAGTCATTTTCATCTGAGGAAAAAATGAGCACTGATTTAGATCAGATTTAACATTTCTCCTGCCTGCTAACAGTCAAGTACCACCACCGCAATTTTAGTGCTTGTGACTGCAGAAGTCCTTTTCATCTCCCTACCAAAATCCATCTGCATGACCCACCCACATTGTACATTTCCCTTGCATTAAATCCTAATTCCTCACTCCATTATACTGCTCTTAAATAAGGCACTGCAGCAGATTGCTTGATTGGGCAGCCCCTGCCAAAGCTCAGTCATCACCTAAGCAGTATCCAAAGCATTTTCAAAAGACACCGTTCTTTTAACCTCACCTTGTCCACTGTACAAAACAGCATTAAATGCAGCATGTGGTCAAACAGGCCAGATATCAAAATCAGCAGGGCTAACCACACACAATTTGCTATTTATAGAACTTGGGAAATACAGAAAATAAACTGGGTAAGTCATCAGGCATTACTCAAAAAAGAGTCTATTTTCCAACACAGAGCTCCTTGAAAATATGTTGGCTCAAGAACTGGGGCTTCCCAAAGCAGCCAAATCACCAGACTAGGCTGACAGTATCTTGTTCCCTGACAGGATCACAGATGAGCTGAGTCTAAGCTGAACCTGACTGCAAAACCCAGATGGGCCAGGAACGAGGCAGCTTGCTACAGCCCAAGTCTGGCCCTGTACTGAGCTGGCAGCAGCTTTCCCAACTCCCTCTCCAGCTTCCCCACTTGTTCCCACTATTTTTGTTCCTGGCTCATGACCCACCAAACGAGGTCAGCTCATTTACATTGGACAGCAACAGCAGCCTGAAGGCCTGTTCTTCCTTGGAGCTGGAGTTCTGCCTATAGCTTTTCCAATGCTGTGACCAATTTAATGCCATTTACTTTGTGTTACGAACCCACATGGTTATTCCTCGGTGAAGAAGTTACTGCATTCATAAAGCAGCAGAAGAGTATGTGTACATATTTTTACTGTAATTAGCAAGTAGCACAATTTGAGCAGTCTTTATTAGTGTTGACTTGCATTATTAAAATTAAAATTGAGTAACAAATAGTGGCATTTAAAATTTACGGTCTTCCTCTAAAATCTGTAATATGAATCTTTAAAAACAGAATGAACTCCCAGTCTCTCAGCTGAAAAAGTAATTGCTGGAACTACCCTGAAAATGATAAATTGTGTTAAGAACAACAACTGGATGAATGACCAAACGTAATACAAGAGCAGAAGGGACAACATTTCCCTTGATAATCTGGGAGCAC